TATTCCCTTCAATATTTTGTACGTTAACCTATCTATGGTTGGGTTAAGGGAGCTCAAGTTTCCGAAATAGGTGTTGGACCAACCAAGGTTGTGGTAGACATGTGGGCCGCTCAAAGCAACAGCTTGATGGACCAGGCATAAGAACTCTTAGAATCCACTCTATTTATAACTTTTCTTTATAGCAAAGTTCATTGAAGCATCAATCCCATAAACCTTTGAACTTCAGGTGTCGTCTTGTGATTCACCTGCCAGCTTTTACAATTCTACAACTGGTCTTTACCTGCAAATATTGCTTTTTTGCGGTATTTTTTGTTGTTCTCCCCCAAAGCCGTCGGCATGTTTTCCTACGTTACACTGCTGATGTGTTGCAGTGTCTATGCTGCTTTTATTATCTTATTAGTTTGCCAATCTTACCTCTTTGGAATGTAGTGAAGATTCCAAAGTTAAATACGAAAAATATTCATGCAGTAATTTTAAGGTTGATAATACTCATCAGTATTATCAATTATTATACGAGTATTATATGATGATTAACTTCAACTAAGTAAATGTTGGAGTAGAAACATTGTATATACAGTATACTTGTACTAGACTTCTTTCAGCTATGCAAGGCCGTACCCTATTTTGTTGTAGGCACAAAATGCTTTCAGGGATACGTTCCTTTATCTCCCAGGGTCTAATAGTTCAATGGGATTTAATAGAACCAATAAACTTAACGTTAGTGTGATTTCTGTTTATGTATCAATGAAAAAATCCGTAGGAACCGTGATGAGGATTCGAACTTATTCTCTAGTTTCCAACCAATTTACTTTTTCAGGAAGTTAAATCAATCTGGTAAAAAGCTTCCATTTTCGTTTGAAGAGAATTTATTGGGTCATAATAAATATCCAACGCTGAAGTTAGTCAAGTCTGTAACGCTTTGGGCAGCCAGACGTTTAGGGCCCGTGTAGATAAAAAAAAAAAAGTAGCTTTGCATCTGCGAATATATAAAGCAATCCATATATCTTGCCTTTACCTCATTAACCAGACAGGGCCAACAATTTTAAGAATATATTTCAGATTATACACCATTTCCTATGTTATAGCTTGCATGGGCTCTTACCCTTCAGTTTTTTTTTAAATTGTCAGTTTAATCAAACTAATTTTACCGAAGTGCCAAGCCATCACGACTCTACATCACTGGGAAGGGGTCAGGATAAGGATTTGGCATGGGACGGTGGGAAGGAATGGTGCCCAACCACTTTGATAGTCTGGGATTGAACGCCGACCTGCATGAAGCGAGACCATCGCTCTACCGTCCAGCCCAAGAACTACTTTGAATACGTGTACTACTAATCTTTGTGAAGGCAAGCTCAGACGGGCAAGAGGGAAAGTGTCGGGGTAGCCAAGACACTTTAACAGGTGGCCCTGTAAAGCATGACTTGTCACTATATTTCAGGCCATACAAACTATAAAGATGCACGTCATTTTTTAGGTCACGGTCAAGACATTTCTCCCATGTTAAATACAACCACTACTGGGTCGCATGAGGTTTCAAAACATTAACGTCTCTCGTGGAAAGTTAATAATTATGTGGCAAATAGAAGGAAAACAATTTTGGCACTACTGTTCTAAGCCACAATCTGCAAGTTTGTGGCTAACTTCTTAATTTATCATTTACTTTAATGTCAGACATAACGAGGAGTAGGTAAAATTCTTAATTTTAACCCCTCCCCCCATTCCGAAACTTTCAATACCCTTTACGATAATATAGTTTAATTGTATATTTAAGCTCTGAAGTATTATAATAGAGCTTAAGAATTCTCAAATTGCGAAAGTAATGCGAAGGTTAACAAAATAAACATCGAAGCTACAATATTCAGTCTATAATAGCCATAACCTTGTGTAGTATGATTTTTAATAAAAGTAATGCAAATGTATACAGCAGACTTATCTCCAGAAACTGCATCTCATTACCCACTTTGTGTATGATAAACTTGTGTATAAATGGCAATGTTTTATGTGCTTTAACATCCGAGAGAGATCATTAAATTTAATATCCCAGCCTATCCACTCACTAACGATAATCATCATATGCAGGATATCATTAGTCAAATATCGAGCAATTTATCCCACACGAACACCCTTAGAGTTAAAACCCTGCATACATAATTACTTCATTGTGTCGGGACAGGCAGCTAGAGGATATTCATACTTTTAGGTTTGTACCGAGGTCTTCCCCCCCCCCCCCCCTACCCAACCACTTGGGCTGGACGGTAGAGCGACGGTCTCGCTTCGTGCAGGTCGGCGTTCAATCCCCGACCGTTCATGTGGTTGGGCACCATTTCTTTCCCCCACATCCCTTCCCAAATCCTTATCCTGGCCCCCTTCCCAGTGATAGTCGTAATGGCTTGGCACCTCTTGTAAACATTTATATATTTGTATATTTTCTTCCCACCTTCCCCCTCATACTCCAGGATCAAACCCGACAACAAGCTTACCACTTCCTGAATACCTACTTGCCGTTAGGTGAATAGGGGCATTAGGCGATGGGAAATGCGCCCAACCATTTCTGTCTATCGAAAAATCGGGATTTGAATCCCGGTTGGGAGTCGAGGGTGAACCTTTCTGTACTACTTGGGACCCAAGCCCGTCCTCCAAACAAAGACCCAAAAGTGATTCCATGCACCCGCCAAACCCCCTGTTTATGAATGAAAAACCAGTTTACACACGACTAGACTGAATTCGAACACTTACGGAACAAGTGTTCGTACTGACGAATTTTGTTCGAACCACAACGCTGTAAGTGCTTCACCCACGTACTACAAATAATAATAAACGCCAACAGAACCTAAACATCTAACCTATATATGTACAATGTGCTAATATAATATTAATTTATATCTGAGAAAATTCCCGTTTGAATGAACAGCGTGTAAAGATTTATGAATGCATCTGTGGGGTCGACCGCTAGATGAAATGAACTAGAGTTGAGGACGAGTTGCGGACCCTTCCCGGTAATACAGTATTGCCAAACACTGAACTTAAAATAGCAGAGCTCAAGCTTCAGAATTTTCCTTGCGTAGTTAACCAATTACCAAAAGGAACAAAAGTTACTTGCACGATTTAGGTAAATTTCTACATATTCCACCGAGCTACTGAAGTCAAGATCAATCAGCATTGTTTCTCCATAAAACACATCGACAGAAAAAAAATCTGCAAAAAATTGTCGTACTGTGGTGCTAATATCCCGAGAATTCATTTCGCGTGCCCGATAGTTATGATAATGGTTCATAAATGTGGCGCACAATATCAACGTCCTTATGTTAGTATGGTACAAATTAAACTAATCCACAATTTTCATTTTCAAAATATTAGAAAAAGATTCTTAACTTAATAATTTTTCCCTAACTTACTTAGCCCTAATAAAAGTACATTTAGTTTATACGTAGTCTTAACCAGAGCCTAGAGCAGTAATTTGTAAACATAAAATATACATAGACTGCTATATCATGCGAACTAAACTACCAAGAGAAGTAAATTCACAATAGAAACTTTCACAAATACACGGCAGAAGATTCTCTTCTCACATTTTTGTGGCGAATGATTTCTTTCTGTAATCTGTTGATCATTTGTTCCCATAAAACTAGTTTAAAGATATGGGTATAATTTTTTTATTTTTTTTTTTATTTTTTTAGGGCGCATCCAATCCCTATCGTCGTCGCCCCTCAACATATATGGGTATAACTTTATATACATTGTTTTGTAAATGAAATGAAGCAAAGCAACACTTATTCAAATTTTAATTGTTAGTAGGGTGCACCGAACAAATCTTACAGAACTCAAAACGCTAAATTATCATCTTCAGTAATACTGTGTTTACATTATTTAAACCTTCTCCATTATGGAAAACATTATGGAAAATATATGTAATATATAATTTATATAATGCAGTAACATCTTTCATTATACGAATTTATATGTAAAGTCAGTAAATATGAAACTATATTATAAGCACATTAATCAATCTCAAAATACCATGTACCATTTTCTTTTGAAGGCAAACAAACTACTATTCGGAATTTAAATGTTAAAATGCAAGGCATCAAATTGAATACTTTAATATAGTATTTGCACTATATATAGGCAATTACATACATATAATGTCGCAGAAGGTATTAGATTTCTATCACCGATTTTCTTACATTAATAAAATGTTTACGCCAGGCCTACTGCTACTGTCGTCCCCTCAATTCCAGGATCGTACGCGCTGGATTTAACGTTAAATAAAATTGCGAAGCTCTGGAAAAGGAACAAACTGCACCCAGGAAGTTAAGAGGCACGACTGCCAGAATCAGAGGCTGCAAGATTGTTTAGGATCAAAAGTACATTTCAATAACATTAAATGAACTAAACCCAAGATTATCATGCAGAGCAAACTTTACATTTTCATTATTAAGTAAAAGTTCGTTCCTGCCCTTCAATACTATGCCACATAAAAGGTGGCTCCTTGCAACATTTGTAATCCAGCAAATTATAGGTCACTGGGTAAACATCACTGACCGTGAAAATTAGTAGGTCATAGAGGGACGCAGCGAGCAAATTATAAGCAAAGTAAGACGCGTTAGTGACCCCGTGAAAAGTCAAGGTGACGCGGTGACCTAATTCCAGGTGAAGGTTGGGGGCAATAGTGACCCCGTGAAGACGCCAGACAGCATCGTCTGCAAGTTCCATAACCCTCCATCAGCTGATCACCCGCTGTGCCCTGCCAAGTTCCTAATGTACAGAACTCTCTATGCTCACTCTTCCCGATCCTCTATTACCGTTAGCTGTACTCGGCACAGCTTACGGAAAGCTAATATTACCGACCTAAATCATGACCGAGTAGCCTTATTAAACAGGTCACTAGCATGTAAAGCTGCAGACGACGGTAACCGGTTCCATTATGCCTGTTGCGGGGCCTCCCACCATCACTATCTTCCCGGCAACATGTCAGCCTCCACAAACTCCCTAAAACTTACCGTTAAATACGAGTCTGTCATCAGCCGAGATCCTGGGTTAAGTCCAGAGATTGTGGTAGCACTGAGAGCCCGGGATATAGTCCTAGGTGTGGTGGGCAGCGCCTGGCTGAGCAGGGTATCCAAGAGGCGAGCTGCGCGGCCCCTCATCGAGCTGGCCATGACTACCGAGGGTTCACTCACACAAGATGAACTAGAGGGATGAACAGCCGTGCTACCACGAGGGAGACGAGCACCACACTGACCACCAGCCCGCCGCCCCGCCACCACTACACCGCCACTCTCCCCGCCGCCACACACCAGCCGCCTCGCCCCCCGCCTCTCACACTCACTCACACACCATACACCTTCAACACTGACATTTTCACACACAACTGTATTGTGCAAAAACTTGAATGCGCTCGTAATTGTGTCATTTATTCCGACACGACTGTAAAAAATATGTCCTAAATATTATCATGTAATATTTTTTTTTCAGATAGATATAGAAACGGAATTTCCAAGCTTGTGACACTTTAATTCTAATTTATAAATCAACTTACTAAGAAATACATGGAGCTTCGTGAATCTAGGTCCAGAATATTTAAAACGATAAGAACAAGGAATCTTATTAATTATATATATGACAAAATTAAACTCAATTATACTTCATATATAATATATTATAAAGATAATTTCTCCATATCTTCATTCGGAGATACACCTGAAATCCCTCAAGTTGTGCTGATTATAAACTAAAGTTTGTACTGGTTAAATCAAACATACTACACAATGAATAAATAAATTATTAAACAGGTTAGAATGAGTATGGTTCAGTCCATATTACCCGACAAGGAGCTGGGAAGATTTACTAAGGCACAGAAGCTGATTTCGGAAAAAAACATAGTTATTTATTTTAATTTACCCAGTTGCTCACCAACACGCAGTATAATTATTAGACTCTCATTATTATTCTGAACATTATTATAATTATTGTAAACATTTAAGCAGGAGATATAGTGTGAGGTGTGAGGGAGCCCGACCCAGTGTGGTGAGCCCGGGCGGTCCCCACCATGGCGCGCTCCCTCACAACCTTGTACAAAACATTGTGTATAATTGAAGAAACTGTGGTCAGATTAACTCAAAACTTATTCCCACAAGGTCAGTTATGCTTAGCAGTCATCAGTGTATTTCTATGATGGGATACTGTACAAGTTAGGTTAGTTCATTTATTATGCACCCCATACCCATCTTGTGGGCGGTAGTGGAAAGGGTTACAGAGGCACATAATGGGCTCAGGGACTGAACCCCATAATTCATTTAGCTAAGCAAGTTACAATCTTGATGAGCTAGTTACAAAATAGCTAGTTACTGTACAAATGTATAACTATTTTAGAATTAAAAGTATACGGTTTTTTCTCACCTTGATAAATTTTAAGTTTTTTATATTTAATATTTACGTGTAGCATTAATTGAATTTACTAGGACAGTTGTTTCAAGCAGAATATGTTCGAGTTTCTCAAAGGTTCTCATATAATTTCATAAAATATAAGTGATTCCTCTGGTTTATATAAGTGGTTACTCAGGTCCATTTCTCATAGTGATTTGCTTCTTTTTGGTCGAGTTAGGTTAGGCAAGAATATTTCTGGTTAGGTAAGGGCTAGGATAGATTACATTACATTATGTGCTGCTTAGAAAGTTAGCCATATTGGAAAGATACAATAGGTTCAAGACTTTGTGAAATTACTTTGGTAATTTGTCTCACATCTGCAAACCTGTTTTCCTAAATATGTTGTTTAAGTCTGTTGTTCTGTGTTCTTTCATGGGTTGATAAATTAGAATATTCAGCCATTTCCTTTGCACTTTTCAATCATGTCCTTACGCTGCTTTACTTACATTGCTTTTTTATTAGCAAATGTATGTATAGTTTTCTTGGTTGCAGTTCATGAAATTGAACAACTCGTGTTCAAATTATTGGCAGGATGGGACATTTGGGTACTGTTTCTTCACTGTTCACCCACCCACCAGTAATTTGGTACCTGGATGTAAAACAATAAGTGGATTATGTTCTACCAGAAGACAAGGACACCATGGTGCAAGTTACATTGTATACAGGATGGTTCACCAATGATTTTAATACTTGCCTAATCTATCTTACCTTGACTTATGAAACCCAGTCCACACCCAAGCCAAAATTATGGCTTGGGCATATATCCCAATTGAGCATAACAGTTAATATCTGAAATTACTTGAAGACCACTCTGTCTAGTGGCCATGACAGGGGCAGGAAGCTGTATAAGCTGTATACCTAACCTAACAATATATATATATATATTATACAGTTTTAACAAATGAAAAACGAGCTTTGTCAAATTGTCTTGTTCGATTTGACCATACTTGAGACAGTGGATATAAATTGGATAAGTTTATATTTAGAAAAGGCCTGGGTAAATACTGGCTTGGAAATTGGGTTGTTGATCTGTGGAACAGATTATTTGGCGATAGATAAGAGATCACTTGATTATTTAAAGCATAGGTTAGACATATAAATGAGCTTGGGTGGTCATAAATAGGAACTGCTACGTATGGGCCAATAGGTCTTCTGCGGTTTCCTTAATTCATATATTCTTATGACAGTAGGGTAAAATTTTAAAAGGAGCTGTAGGAAGTAGAGTTCTAAGCCTGCAAACAAATCGGAAGACTCCTGCTCTCGTATTTTCTGAAATATAAAAAGATGGGAGTCCTAATGATGGTGGTTGTTAGTCATCCTTCTCTTTATACTGTACTTTGAAGAGATTTTACACCTTTTATTTTATAGTACCAGGTACAGTACTCATTACTGTTCTGTAAAACCCAAGTGTGAACACACTGAGGAAATATATCACTTATTACATGATCAAATAGTCCTCCAGATGTGTTTACTGTAATTGAACTTTCCCCAAGCACATTACCAGTTAACTTCTATTTGTCTCTTCATTTTTAACGGTATACAATACTTTGCATTTATACTTCTCCTTGTGTCTGAAATATTTATTACTAATGCATAACTTTTCATATCTTTAAGTGTGCAACCATTGACATTTATTCCATGAACACGTGCACACCCATCATTCATATTTTTACAATACAAATTACCCATAACAACAAATCTGTAACTTTGTATCATGCAAACTTCACTTCCTAATTTTTATATATATTTTTTTTTTATCCTCCATGATACTGAGCATATGCAGTAACCACTGCAACCTTAACCCTTTCAGACTATAATTCCACACACAAGCCCCCTGAATTGTGCCATGAGAAAGTTATTTGTGACAGCATTCCACTACCTGTACTATTCATTACAAGGCCAACTAACTCCTAACCTCTCATTCTATCCAATTTTCTCCTTCCAATTTTCATTCGCACTTGTTTACAAACTTTCACCAGTTCCATCATCTTCTGTTCTTTATTCCCATCACATTGTAGCTATACAATCATGCATTTACAGTAATTTCTAGGGGTCCAGGCAGGCTTCTTTTGCTTTTTAGAGAGAAAAGGGTTGTCATTTTAATTTCCTCACCCCTTTACCACAGGGATATGATGTTTGCATATGGTGGCATGTGATGTTATAACATAGTACTGTACTTTAATACAATATATGCAGGTACTAAAAATTTTTTGTCTAAAGTGTCATTGTGGTATAGTAATTGTGTAACATTTGTGATTGAAAAGGTTTGTGAACAAAGCCTTCAATGAAGCCTAAGTGGCAGAATAAATTTAATGAATTTGTCACATTACAGGGCCTCATCCAAGACTAATATTGGCAGTAGATCAAAATGTGTGTGTGCACCGTAATCCAGTCAGTCATCCCAAGAATGCACTGGAAGACTTAATAGGGGATGGGTTTCTCTGGGCTGTACCTAAGCATCGAAGGAGCCGAGAAAGGAGGCTTATAAGAAAATTTGGGTTAGAAACTGGGCACAAGAAATTATTGCCAATACTCAAACTTCTCACCTGTGATAACTGCGGTCATGTACACGAGCCTGGTCGATTGTGTCGTAAGTGATGAATTACACTATAGTGTTGTACTTAATTAAAAAATTAACTTTAAGATCAATAATAATATTACCATAACAAATTTGTATTATCACTGCTTATTCTCTCTCTTTTTTCCCTGTACCCCTCCCCTTATATACTCATTTAATGCATCAAAGGCACCACATGATTGAGAGAAAACACGGATAGATTCAGTATGAAGCATTAAATACTTAATACTCTGCCACATTCATTATGAAGCTCTGTCACTTGTATCTCAACCAGTTCTCTGTTCTTGTGCAACATGGCATAACCTTCACCTCTTGCACGACAAGCACTTTCATGTTTTCTTCCTGATTCTTTATTATTTTTTTGTTATTTCCATCCCCATGTTTAAAGTCATTGCAACAACAGTCATAATGGATGGGTCACGTATCTCTAGCTTTCCCCTTTTTTCTCCTACTAAATGGTTCAAATTTTTTGGTAAGGAGAGTAGGGAGACTAGAATTCCCCCCCTTAACATATTCTTTGGTCCACTAACCAAATATTTTTTTTGCCAAACTTATTGAAAACAGGCAGAACTGCTGTATTCCTCTCAATTGGCATAATTTGTATTGTAATTTAGTAGGTTACACTTTTTAATTAGTTTTTACTATCGACATCATCTTAGTTATGGTTTACTGCAATTTCAATAAAATATGCAAGATAAAATAATAGATGGCTAATGTAATGTCATCTCACTCATTCTCACCCTAACTTTGTATAAAATAAGTTGAAATAACAATTTTATTCTTGTGCAAAATTACCTTTACAGCTAATTGCTATGCTAAGAACAAAGAGGTGACGGAGGCCATGCAGGCAGCTATGAATTCTGCTCAGGGGCTTAATCCTATTGAACATGAGGTCCTTCCAGTCTTCATAGGAGAAAAAGTTAACACACAGGATGGATTTTATCAGGTGGGTTTTTTAACAGAATGGCTGAAATGCAGTTGTTAAATGGAAATGTTCTAGTACAAATTCTTTGAAGTTAGGTTTTCCAATTTCACTAATTTCAGGTAGTTTCTTTTAATGTAAATATATTATCTTAGTTATTAGACTACATTTTAATTTTGTATTTTTATTAAATGTAATATAAAATTGTAGTAATACTGTGTTTGAATTTACAATCAACAATAGCTGTACAGTAGTATATATTACAAATTATGTAACTTATATAAATTGAGGTATTGTCAATAATTTGGAATGTCTTGAAACAGTAGAAGGGAAAAAAAAAGTTTGAAGGATAATCAAATTATGAAAGATAAAAATAATTAACTCCTTTGCTATGCCACATCAATTTTGATTCACACTCTTAGGCATATTTTCTTGTACATCTGTACCGTCGTAAGAAAATGACCTGCTCTGTCCACTGGCACTTGCAAAAAATTCACTGATAAGAAACATTTAAAAATTTAGATTTTAAGTATAACATATGGTACAAATAACTTGATACCAGTGGTTCAGTTCAACCAGCCAGATGTTTTTCCCTGCTCTAAGGATGTGTAGGTGTTTGTTGCTTTGATGGTTTTCTTTACCATTGTGTCCAGTGCTAATTTTATGGTGAGTTTTTTAAAATTCCCATCGCCTTTTAGTGAGCCAGATACTGGAGGTATCTGGTACGATACTTGGCTTCAACTTGACGAGTGATGTGTTTCAGAGGCCTGATGTGTTTAGTGAAGCCTGAAAGCTTGGCGGTTCCTGATCTAAATCTAAGGAGCTACTAGATGCCCACCAGGACAGGGCATTTCATTACATTTAATGTTTGATTTTTAAATTTTCAAATTTTAATAGAAATAGAGAAATTATCCTAATATAATAATACTAAGCTAAGAGAGGAAAATAAGAGCTAAGATAAGAAGAGATGGTATGTAGGCACATTAGGGCATACAAGGAAGTTGTGATGCTACATGACACTTTTCAACTAATTTTCACAAGAACACAATTACACAAAGAGTTATGAAACCTGTTGGCCACATTAAGATGATGATATCCTGCATGTATAAGATTTTGTATACCTCATTTATTCTTTACATAATTATCATGCCCTTTTGTATAATATATCTATCTATCTTTCCTGTGACCCCATCCTTCTATTTAGATAGTGCTCATGGTAATGATGTGGACCATCATACATGTATTGATGTAATGGACAATTAGAAATTGAATTTGGACAAACCAGTAAAGGTTTTGTATTTATGTAGTTAATAAAACCTAACCATACCATCCTAGGCCTAATACATGCTATCTGAAGCCTAATATAGTACATATATATATTCTATACTAGAATATACTTTGGAGCGGACAGCACACTGGACTTGTGATCCTGTGGTCCTGGGCGCCGGCGAGAAACAATGGGCAGTTTCTTTCACCCTATTTCCCTGTTACCTAGCAGTAAAATAGGTACCCGAGTGTTAGTCAACTGTCACGGGCTGCTTCCTGGGGGTGGAGGCCTGGTCGAGGACTGGGCTGCGGGGATACTAAAGCCCCAAAATCATCTCAAGATATACTAGGCTTAGAAATATTTGGCTTTTATTTATTTTTTCCAAATTATAAAGTGAACAACATTAACTTTACAAAGTACCAGATTCTACTAATTGTCTCATTGTAATATATGTACAATGATCCACAGTTACAAAAGTACTATCTAAACAGGATAGTTTTGCCCCTTTCATATATATATTGAACAACCATAGCAATATTGCATAGCCCTATTATGCTTCTACATTAATATCAAACCTCTCTCTTATTACATTAACTCTTATATAGCCTACTTCATAAAGACCTTAAAGGTATTTATGAAGGTCAAATACCTTCAACTATGCTCAGTTATTATTGATAAACCAGAGATATTTTTCGAGTTAATAATGTTAATCCTTTTGCAGGGAAAGCGGGTCGTTGAAGTTCCAAGGGAATGCCCGCAGTGGTTCTCTCGTAGACTGACCAAGAAGTCTAATATCACCACTTCCTCGGCCACTTCAATTGTCAAGCCAACAAATTTAGCTTAAATGCTTCATTGAATTTATTTGGAGAGTTTGTAGCATTTTAGAAAATCTTTATACTTGGAATTAAGTATTGTATGAATAATAATTTCAAAATTAGTTAATATCATTAAAGCTTGGTCAGATCTTTCATATATACCAGATCTTTATTTTGTCATTTGAAATGTGGTTGTCTTTTATAAATTTGGCTCGCTGAAATGTAATACTGACCTTCAATATATGCAATCATAACATTCAAAATTAATTCATAATCATTCCAGAATACCTCTATAAAAATGCTTTTCTGCAGTAGTGTAATTCTTACCAATCCATCAATGAGAAGACTATTTTAATCAATGCATATTATTGTGTGAATATATAAAAGTACTGTACTGTACTTCACTGCACTGTATAAAAAGTTTGTCGACAAATGTAGTTACAGTGATGTGTAAATAAATGGATTTCTCAAGTTTCGCTTTGTATTGATTATCCAAGATGAGTGTTACCAGGTACACGTATTGTAATGCATTATCAGCCTAATATTTCTAGTCCTATTATCTGTGCTTTACTCAATTTTTCTCTTCCATTTAGTACCTGCATCTTTGGTAGCCACAATTGTTAGATCTCAGACATTTTGCAACATAGCCTTCCCTCTATATTTATAACCAAAGATATTGAAATACTGTATATTCATGTGAGAGCAGACAGCAGGAACTGCTGAGTTTGGTAATAAAACTAAATCAACAGAAACTAGCTACTTGCAAAGTCCTAGGGTTGGGGGAAAAAACTGAACTAGAACTACAGGGTATGTAAAGCTCAAAGTGGTGAGCATCTGGAGAGAGAATGTAAGCCATTAAAAACTATTAATTTGATATGTAATGAACTAGTCGCTTCTGTAATAAAAGGAACAAATGAGCCCACCGACCTGAGAAATATACCCTTCCTTCCTTTCTTCCTCAGAAAGGAATAAAGTTCACTAACCCTAATGAAGTACGCAGGACAAGAATGAAGGCTTCTTTTAGTGTCAGATCAGGAAAATGGGAAAAGTAGAATAAATAAATATTTTTGAACAAAATTACAAAACTGTTGTGATGCTACGTAGGTTGTAAATAAACCTGTAAAGGCTCAATAGAAAAAATGCTTTTATATAACTGTGCAGGAGGAACTAGGTTCATTAATACCAAAGCCTAACTGAATTTATTCCCAATCAGTTATATAGTAATCAACACGTCTCATCTTTCCTTGAATAGGTGCTCCTTCAGCCTGGCTAGATGACTAGGCTAGCCTGAATCAAATTAATTTGCAAGGATTGAGTAAATGAGCCCAAGAGCTCAATTCCAGAACAGAGACTTACAAGAACAAAGAAAAAAGTTTTTGTTCAGCATCCTAGAATTGTTCCAAATAAAATGTGAATATCCTGAGCAGAATATTTAGACCAACAAATCATACTTCTCACCCTGACCAGGTATGGCAATTGGGAGTTCATCTGATTAGAGAACTGAAGCCACATCCTGTAACTGCTTTACCTAAAATTCAATTTATTCCCTTTGACCTACTCAGGTTGACCACCTTATGCTCTTGGTAGTATGTGAGCCAGAAGCTTGCCTACACTGAATGGGGGAGTTAACTAGGAAAGGGAGGTTCTAAGGAATGTTTTGCATTCTCAATAGATACAGATGAAAACCAAAATCACCTACTGTTTATCCAAGTAAATGTGTTGCAGAACTATTTGGGAACACTGAATGCCACATTGCATAATTCTGAGCTATTGCTTGTAGTTTTATGGCCACTTCACAAGAAGCCCAGAGATGCAGTATCAGAGTGGACACTCTACATTGAAAATCTCTTAACACTTGTGGGGAAAATGAATCTTTTAGACCCAATGTAACAGATGGAAAATAAAGCACTGATGGCCCTCTGCATCCATCTAACATTCCAATCATACATGCTAATCTTGGGACAAAGAACCAAAGCTCAACCCCCGCAAGCACAACTAGGTAAGTACTAGTTAAAATCCAGAACAGGTTGCCTTTTGAACTATATCTGAAAATGTTAAGATAGAAAGATTTTATGTGGTAAACAGATAAACTCACAATAAAGACAAAAAGTCAGAAAGCCTAATAAACAATCAATGCAGAATGGAGGCATTGATTAATCCTGTGCACATCAAACAATCTGAGACCAAAACTGGATAACACACTGTGAAGACGACGAGTTACAATAACGTGGCTGAAGATATTAAGACTAAGCCACACACCAGAAGATGAGACCACAACATTTTGATTATCACACGATGATTATCAGGTTGATTGCCTTTATTGATCATTTTGGTCAAGTAGATTGTGATAATTTTCACAAATGACTTGAAATAGTCCATGATGGGCTGAAATGTCGTCGTCGTCTCATCTTCTGGTGTGTGGTTTAGTCTGGATAACTCTACCAGAATGACTACCTGGCTAATGCAACTCTTAACAGACAATATAGTTTCCCACATTGTCATACATAAGTCATAGATGACTATAAGGATGTCTCTTGTTACACAGAATGCTTGTAACTATAACTTACCTTTTCCTATTAGAATTGGAGTCTGATTTTAATAAACAAACATTGGCATTTTCTTTCACTGTGTACAGGTTGGTCACTTTCCAGGTGCTTGAATCTAGTAAAATTCTCAGTAAAATGCCCCAAAGTCTGGGGTAAGGAGCTCAACAAATCTTGCTTTTAATGGCTGCTGCATCAGAAGTCTGTCAGCTGCTTCATTCATATACTGTACTGTACATAGTAATTTTCTTAAGTACAGTACAGTACTTTCAAAATTACAGCATAACTATTTGTTGTATCATCAGAAAGGACCATTGGGTATGTAACAAATTATTTAAAGTCAATGGTTTCCCTTTCTTCATCTATAAGCTGGGGTTAGTCTACAATGATTTTCCACTAATAAATAAATACACCAAAAAGGCATATAGTGGAGGCCAATAAACAAAAAATTTATTGCATCAATGCAACAGTCTACACTCAGTATATTAAGAGATTTCCATGTTGCAGTTTAGCCTACACTCCGCACATGTCTGACACATTGCTAGCATTCTATTAATCCTGTCCTCTGCAGTTCATTGTCAGTTTTATCAGAGGTCAAGGTACAGTCTAGGAGTCTACTATAGTGGTCGCCGAGACAGGTTAGCCCAAGTTAAAAGGCCACTAAACAAGGTCTATGGCAATGTTATAAAACTAATAGTCAGTATAAAAATTTATCCTATTGAAACAAAACTAAACAGAAGCAAGAAATGTTAATCATAGTTCAATTTACTATAAAGCGGTGAATAAATCCAACAGGAGCCTTGATGAGGGTTCGAACCTATGCACCGAGTATCCCCAGGTGCATAGGTTCGAACTTGTGTGCTGGGCACACCCAGCACACAAGTTCGAACCCTCATCAAGGTTTCTGTTGGATTTGTTCATCGATATACTGTATCATGTTAATGTGATTTCTCCGTGTATAAAGTAGGTATTGTAACTAGGCTACGTTCAAGTATTCAAAGATCTCTTAATTCAAATATTATAAAGTACATGTGAAGTTCATGTACTGTACATGATCTTCAGGAGGAGCCAGTGGCTGAGCGGACAGAACACTGGACGCGTGATCCTGTGGTCCCGGCGAAAAACAATGGGCAGTTTGAACAAATCCACAAGGGCCGTGACAAGGATTCGAACCTGCATCCGGGAGCATCCCAGACACTGCCTTAATCGACTGAGCTACGACAGGGTAAGAGTTGAAACCAAAGTTCTACTGAACTTACAAGATCCCGCAGCCTCTCCGAGGCACAAACCAGGGTTTTACACAACTCCCCCCTGCACTAGAGCTATGTCAATAGGCCGTTCTCCCTCTTCGCCCTTACGTCACAGCCCTTGTGGATTTATTCATTTGATACATCACGTTAGTGTGATTTCTGTGTGTAATGAGTAGTTTCTTTCACCCTGATGCTCCTGTTACCTAGCAGTAAATATGTACCTGGGAGGTAGTCAGCTGTCATGGGCTGCTTCCTGGAGGTGGAGGCCTGGTCGAAGACCGGGCTGCGGGGACACTAAGCCCCGAAATCATCTCAAGATCTCTTACACTATTTTGGTTTTATCTCTTGAGAATTCATAGTTACATTAATAGATACAGCCCACTTTCTAGTTTAGTAGTCACAAAGATGTAAAGACTGGTTGCTCAGCCCTGCCACTACATTCGGGATCATCACACATTTGCCAATCACTTGTGAGTGAATTACACTTTTTTTTTTCTAGCCTCTCAGCATTTCCCTATACCATATACAGTACTATATACTGTATATAGTACAGTATATATAGTAGTAATATATCTCTATGTTTATAATACATATCTATTGTAGAGTATTTTCTAACTCTAATTAAGCTGATTATAAGTGTGCACAATAAAATTTCACACACAGTTCAGTGAACTTTTATTCAAAAGCAACTTTTATAAATTGCAAAAATATTGTAATATCGACAATTGTGAACAAAATTTACAAAAATGTAATGAATAACCTTGAAAATAGAATGCATTTTTAAGTGGCAATGAGTAAAAAAAAAATTGTAAACAAAACTTCTAATTAACAATTTAAATTAAATTATACAAAATATTCAAATTATCTACACTTATCTTTAATTAATAAAATGAACTGATTTGTCTGGATCATTCATAAGGTTTTTACTGAAAGAGCAGTAACGTTCTTTCATTATTTTTCAGTGACAACACTTCACGCCATTACCTACCTTCCTTCACTTTATGATCCACAATATCTGTATGACTGCTCTTCACGTTATTTTAGATTTTTATGTTATTTAACAAACATACACCATTCTCTTTTTTTCTCTTCCACTATTCTTCTTGGGTATAAAGATATCTGCTGAGGCAGCCCATTATCCTTTTGATACACTGGATTTTGCTTATTGCCTGTGATACCAAAATCAACAACAAAATTATCACCAGTGCCTATGGTACGGAAACAGTACCAAACACATGAAATATTGTACATAAGGCATCCAACTTTATACGTGCAGGGGAAAAGGTGCTCGTATGTAGTAATGAAAATGAAAGTAAGAGATGTTTGTAATTCGCTCATTCACACCTAACAGTGAATATATCCAACAGTAATCTTAACTTAAGTATTGAGCAACTCAAGAATGACTTATGAACATCAAAATTTACATGGTACTTAGAAAGTTAGTCACATTAAAAACTAAATGAATCTATTAAATCACAACAATGGAAAGGATGACAGAACTATTATATACAAATGAACCCAATGAATATAATTCCTAGATGTCCCCCCCAAAAATCATGCAAATTAGATAGCATGCCAAGAGGACAAACTTATTGAATTTCCCAAAAATGTCTTCAGTATGAAAGAGGACCTCAACTGGCAGTTGAGGTCTTCTTTTCTAACATTTATCTTCCATAAATGTTAATGATATGGATGTTCAAACATTGTGACATAAAAATAACAATAAAAAAAAAAATAAAAATTGTCATTACACTAATTTGCATTCATACTGCCTTCCTCCAACAAGTTTACTAAAATACCTACCATATGAAATGTTAATTTATGCATTCAATACATTCTATCCTAGTTTTTCTGCTCTCTTGGGAGCTACTGAATCATGGCATACTTCTTTGAAGTAAACATTCATTCATTATTTAAACTTTAAAAATGCATTAAATCATTTGGCAATACAATACTAACATGCCACCAACATAGCCAAGTCTTGGCAGTGATATAAATTCAACATATTAATGAAGTAAAGCATAAGATCAGACAAGGAAACTCTTTTAATCTGCAATTGGATAGCAATTTATATAGTTTGCAATTCATAAGTATTCATAATGATGAACTTATCGTATGGTTATGATAAGTTTATCACATGATGAACTCAACAATTCACAAGTCCTGTTACACATGAAAATAATACCCCGATCCCACCTCTTATTCAAATTGATATTTAAATTTAATTTCTCATAATTTTAACATGTAAACAACATATTTTTACATATTTGCATTTATTTCTGATGCACAAGGTACATGAGATCTCTTCCTAATCCTCAATTTTTTATCATTATTATTATTATTATTATTATTATTAACAAAATCCTAATGTTATTGCACTTCATGTACACACCAGCACATCACAATATTGGCCTGATTTTAGTCTACCATTTGTTCTGCAAATGCTTCATTATACAATGAGATATCAGGAAAACAATTCTTTATCACACTGACAGCTCGTCTGATCAATAGCCATTAGAATGCTTATATATATTATGGAGAAAATTGTTTTAGCTTTAAGTATCTCCTAAAAATGTTATATATTCATTCTGAATAATATGCTTGTAGTAGAGGGGGCTAAGAGAATGGCATGTAGAGAAGCATCATATGATCTGTCTTTGGAAAGTCTTGTCAGAAAACACAACTGACTGGGGCACTTACAATTATCCTTTTTGTCTTCAATAGTGTAAACTTAATCTCTTACTCTCAGTCCCCATACAGACGTTCTGCGGATTCCAACAGTAGGCCGAGCAACAGAAGAAAACAAGTACTTGTTGATCTGGATGTGTGGAAGACTTTGTCGTAACGTACTCAGCGCACTCTCACTAAGGATGCCATATACATCCAGGTAGAGTAAATGTGGCATTGACTTTAGTTCACTGGAAAAAAAATAAAAAATGTTGTAACTTCTTTCATTACGAAGGTATTATCTTGACTAAACAAGCAATACAGTATTTTTACATAACAGAGCTAACCCCATTGTGAAAGCTTTCTCTCCACTATACCATCATTTTACACAATGATCCTCTCTCTACCCCAGTTATCCCTGTACTATCACTGTCCGCCAAAATCTTTTTCCTTTTTTCCCCCCTTTGAGAATCCCTCCTAACACAAGGGCATGAATAATGGCTTGTGTTTAATCTGCTTTTAATATTTCATCCACCAAGTATTAAATATAGCCTATTGAAGGTGCACTTGAAAAATGGCCAAGAATTCTAGATGCTGGTTTGGCAATCAAGTATGTAAAGCAGTCACCATTTGTTACCATAGAGAATGGTGTAACAAATATAAAGCAAGCTTGAAGACTGTTTCTGCAGGATTAAAAGCACAAAATACACTGAACAAAAATAACCTTCACTATATGAACACCATCTTTCTAACCAGTACTACAATCAATATACTTTACAAGTAAATTAAGTGCTACAATAGCACTATTTCCTTATTCAATACCTCATTCTCCAGCCCATCCTTCTGTTTTGGGAATACAGTACTTATAGTGACAAGGACCATGGAACATATACTGACATTCAACGCAATTAGAAAGTAGAAATTGGACATATTGAATTTGGAGAGACCGGAAAAGTATTTCTATTTAAGTTGCAAAGACAAACTAAACTAACTTAACCTTCCTAGGCCTAATACATGCTATCTGAGGTTTAATATAGTATATATATGTGTGCTAGACTAGGCCTAGGAATATTTAAGATTGTTTTTTAGCTTTATTTTTTCGGACTATAAAGTGAATAGTACAAAATTCTGGTATCTAATTCCTTAGTACGTCAATGTTTGTACTATGGTGCACATAGTTATAAAAAGTACTATCTAAACAGGAGGATGGGTTGCATTCTCTCTGGTAATTTTTTTCCTAGAGGTGGTGGCCTTCAGGAGTTAGAGGAGTCAATATGTTTGAACATTTATATGCAGGACTCAAGCTCTACTTAATATATCACCTATATGGCATATTAAGAGGAAAATACGCAATGTGAAAATTCATGAGGAATACTGTACTCCTGGTCTTATGAAGTTGTGGGTTGCTGCCATGGATGACTGCTGGATTGTGGTAAATGCTTATCTGTGACATTATATGTCATATTTGTTAATCATATAAATGAATGAGTGATAGTTAAATAGTTAATGTTTTTATTATGTAACACATATTATTTTACTATTTTACTTATCTTTGGGTTGATGATAATGTCTGTATATAATAAAAGCATGTTATATGCCTTTTTAAACTTACAGGTAAGCATCTGGGTGTATATTATAACATCTTGAAAATGCCAAGTACTCAACATGGCGTAATTCACTGATGATAACAGATACGGCAGATGCAGTAAGCTGAGTTCCATCACTTATGTCTAGCTCTACCAGGCCTGAACACTGCTCTGCCAGTAAGCGCACATCTTAAAGAAACAAATTAACATATACAAAATGTTGTGCAGTTATTCTCATACTTAAGTAATCAAAATTTAGAGAATTTAGTGTTAAATTTTTCTAACAATATTACTCTGAGTTTCACTCTACATTTTAAGAAAAAACTGTGTAACAAAGAATGTCATGATCTATAAACCTCAATACTGCATTTTCATATATATATAAAATGATGTAGTCGAATATATAGTATAATAAATATTGGTATATTTAACCTTAAGATTATATATCTATAATATATATGCTGGGCATATAAATAAATTAAAAACTACCTAATATGTAATATGCTATTAACCTCTTGTATTTCTATCAATTTCTAAGCACAGTACACCCTTTATTAGCCATATCTCTTGAAGTGCTAAATGCAGTGTAATTTAAGCAAATGAGAAAACTTAAAAGGCTGGCATTTCACCATTTTTTTATAAATGCAAAATTGTTTTAACTTTTCAGCTGCTGGATGCTTTTGAACTATCTATATTCGACCACAGTACTAGTAATAGGGTTGGTACTTACGTGTGTCTGACAGAGTACTTCTACAGCCTGATATATTAAGTCGTTCTAAAGAAGCTGGGAAACGCCGACAAATCACACTTAAATCCAAAGCACATAATCCTGTCCATGCAAGATTTAAACTCTGCAACCTGAAAAATAATTATGTTCTGTATTTTTAAATACTATAATTCCTTTAGTTCTTAAGAGAAACAAATTTAACATACTTTTAATTAGAGAGCTATTTAGCAATACACATAATTAACATTCAAATTATTCTTGATTTACCTTTTGCAATGATTGAGAATGTTAAGGACGTATGAATGACACAACCCGTAACACATTGCAAGATTCAAAGTCTCCAAGTTTGGGTTGTTAGCGATGTGTGAGCAGATGGACCGAGTTATAGTGCAATGTTCCAAGCTTAGCTTCTTAAGGTCAAAACACACACTCAGCAACTCTTCAAGTGCTGAAATATATAGGCCAAATTAAGACATGTATATACCGTACAAAGAAACAGAAGTACAGTACCCCATTTCCCAGTTTCATGGAGTTGTGTAACATTCTGCAAAGTTCCAATATACTGTATCTTTAACAATCTTATATTCTGATGATGTAATACTGAAGGTACAATGCATTATCACCCAAAAAGCAATAGTGCTCATAATTAATCCAAATGATGCCTGAACTTGAGAGTATGTATTTTAAATGATACTCTTAAATTTTGCATCACAATATATTACCAACTGAGCAGGCCATGTGGCAAGAAGGTAACTTGTACAGTACCCTGCACACTCCCACACAAGTGTCAGCACCCACTTTTAATTCATCTAACAGAGAAATACAAATAAATCACAGTAAATTTTCATCCATTTATTACCATTACCCTATTTCCACTTCACTGGGATGAGGAGAAATCAACCTTGGTTTTTTAAAATATAGTGCATTTTTTGTACCATATAATGGTCCCTAAGAAACTAACTGGTCCAACATGATCACTTTTTTCGGATCAGTATTTAAATGCAGACTGGTGCCAAATATTTCTACAGTACTTTCTAATCAATAAATGGCATCACACAGCACCTGAAACAGCAGCAGCTTACCACTTCAGTATGTTTACAGCCGTGATGATGGGAGAACATCCTTCAACTGGTACCCTTGGAAATATCATTATTTTACCTGTAGTTAGTGTCAAGTGTTCTATTTCCTAAGCTTAGCCTCGGGCCAGGCTTGTATTATGGTAACTTGAACTGAAAGGCTGTTGCTTGATGCAGCAAACAAACCAACATATACATTAAAACACAACTGATCCAGCACTTAGGTAATTATTTTCTGCAGGCACTTATCCAATTGCTCCTCAAAAACCTCCTCTATTTATCTAGAAATATTTCTCACATTTGGTGTGAGACACTTGAGGAGCTGAGAGCCTCTGATTTTCACGAAGTGTTCTCTAATTGTGTTTATGGAAATTTACTCTTTGCTGGAATTATTTTGCCTTTCCTACTATACTGTATCTTTTACTCTAGTAATTTATTCTCTTTAGCAGAATGTTGATCAATAGAGCTCACTCATCAGGCTAACACAAAGATAGATATTTAATGATTTTTTCTTTCCCTTTACATGTAGATTTTTATGTATGAATACATTGTATATTTTATAATATATTTTAGTAATGATTATGGTTATATGGTATTGAAAGATGGTGCAGCTTTCACCAAGTTAACAAATAGAAAAATACACCAAACTTCATCATTTTCTTACTTTTACACACAGATCTACAAATTCATAATAAAAATATATTCATCTTGTAAATAATTTTGTTGGTTCATATAACAGGTTCCAAAGTGTTTATATACCCCAGTGTTTAAGGGTTACCACTTATTAACTTGATAAGTGTCCCATTATATTCAATCATGGTTCATGTTTCACGTGCAACAATTACGTTTAAGGCGTCCTGTTAGACTAAGAGCAATTGTGTACAATGGGAAATGGAAGTGTTTGGATGCTGCTGCAGAAGACGTGTAGCACTCACTGAACAAACAAACTTAAAACAATGAATGATGCTGAAGCACTCGTATATTATTTCCAGAGGATGTACTCTCTCAACTTGTACTGGTAACAAAGGGGCTGCCGTGTTTGAGCCATTCTAAGTGTAACAAGGTAAAAATAAAATATATCAAGCAAAATATTGTGCATGTGTTATCATGCACAAAAAAAAGTAGGCGCAAATAAGTTGTGAGAACAACTTGATTACTTGCCTATTCAGATAGTAAAAAAGTACTTCATAGTTTGTGAAGTGTTAACATTAAATTTCTAGAAAATATTTGAATTAGGAATATGACCGAGAAAAACTAAAAAGGGGCTTATTTGTAAGTTTCTTGGAAGGATACTGAAATATTGAAACCTTTGAATGTCAACACAAACTGGTTAAGGCATTTTAAACATGAGAGAGGATCAAAATGCAAGGAGCACTACAACTTCATGTCATTTATCACATGAATGATAGTGTCAAACAAATTTCCTAGAGATCACTAACCTTGTGGCTCGATGGCAGCCATGCTGAGATCAAGATACTGGAGTTTGCTCCTTACAGGTGGAATACTTGGTAAATAATGCAACTGTGGTGAGAAGATTGGGTTGCCCACCTGGATGCGAGAAAATGTATAATAGTACAGTATGAAGACGTTGCCTCAGAATAGCTATTCTATTATATGCCAAGCAATAAACAATGGATGTGATGGGATGGTTAAGATAGGTAAAAAACAATATATTTTACCTCAGCTTTGGCTAGTCTGAGAATGCTCGATCCTCTGAGAATGACTCGGCCCACAACCCCTGGTTTAAGTGTCTTGCCCCCAAGGTCAAGTCTTCTCCACAATGTCTCATCAAATGCTAACCTCTTCCATCGTCTGCTTACTTGGGCACACCTTGCTAACATGAACTTAGGAAGCCATCGAAAAACACCTAAAATCAACTCATCGGACATGCGATTAAATTTATCTGAAAAAAAAAGAAGCAAGTTTTCAAAAGGGATGTGGTTTATGAAGTACACAGAAAATAATATTACACAAATATATAACCAGTATATCATTTACATTAACACTGTTAGAGAAAAAGAATATTTAGGTATTTACTTACCACCCCCTGCAATAGCATCTAGACGTCTACGTTTATATACAAAGAATTCTTCCACATTTACAGAATCATCAGAAAAAAACGACCCATTGCTTATTACATTCTGGTTAGTTTGTTGAAGTACCTGAAAAAATGTTTTCATTGGAGACCATAGAAATCAGCATGTTTTGGATAGCATACTTAAAACAATGCCATAAATGCCTTCATATATAAAATGCAAATTACAGTGGATACTGGCTTGAATGGACAGATTCGCACTGGATACCATTAGGTGTAACAAATTATTGTACTCAAATTTTGATATGCAGGTATTCCAAAATGTTTTATAATTACTATATAGTAGAGAACAGTGCAGTACAGTATTTTGTACTAGGAGACCCCATTGAACAGCTAGCACCACTTGAACAACATTGGCATTCAAACATTTATACAAAACAGATCTTCATTTGATGATTACTGCATTGGACCAGATATTCAGCACATCATCATGACCACAATTTGAGGGTTAAATATATCCAAACATTACTCTAAATCATTTAAAGTTAAACTTTGTACTGGGAATTATTTTTAACAATAATGTATTTACAGAACAGTGCTCATATTGCGGTATAAATATTTTTTGTGTACTTTATTTGGTTAATATTCAGTATTTCAAATACTGTGCATTTTTCATCAATGCCTAATCCAAGAGTAAACCCGCCCACTTGGCTGGAATTGTTCAAATAATTTACAATGAAACCAAGGTCATCCAGTATGCAGTATATGAAAAGTGGTTCACTGAATCCATTTCATCCAACTGTCTGAAGAAGTGAGTTCCTTATAAGCAAGCTTGTAAATTTTTCATTTTTTTTTTTTCAATAAAAGATTATTGCAAAGGCTACTGTAATTTGCCACCTAAAAAATGTACAAGAATGGAAAGGAAATACTGTATATCAGTTTAAGTTCAAAACGGCTTTTAAACACACTCACACCTGATTAAAACTGCTTAGAAAATATAAGCTGGCTGTGAAATTAAAGAAATGAGACCATATCATTATTGGTTAACATTAAACACAGAAATGGTAAGAATCTTTTCTAACCTACAGTATTATATAACATTAATTAAAGCCAAGGTACTCAACCAATTGAAGGGTTGAAGGGTAGGAAGGCAGATATGGTGAGTGAGCATATTAGGAAGCAAGAATTAAGTGTGAACAACACACAAGTGTTGCTCTTAATATTTAAATGCTGGTATCTAAAACGGTATTTTAGAACATGGATAAAAAGTGTTGCACAGATATGAATATTTGATGTAATTTAAAGTGATAACCAATAGAAAGTCCTTCATACTTAGTTACATAAAGTAGTGGAACATTACTATAGATGTTTTGCTGGAGTGTCATGGAGCTAGTGCTATGTGACATTGATGAGTGGAAAACATATGATGAATAGGCCCATGACAAATGTAGTTCTAAAGAACAGCTGTGGAAGTAGTGGTAGGGGAGAGTAATGGAAACAATAGACAGAAGGCCAATGACAAGAATAATTGCTAGGTCTGCTACACTGATCAGACAAATAGCAGTTCTTTAAAATGTATTAATAATACGGTATTGGTAGAGGAGACTGCTCCAAATGTGAGAGCAGTAAGCTAAACAAAAACAAATGAGGCTTTTGTAAAAATATCCTCTAGGCTTAAGAGTACCCAAGTTTTTTATATTGCTATTGGCTTCACCAAAATGTGAATACTATTTCAGATATCTAAGATGTGTGTATTTAATAATATTTAATCATAAAATGCAGTGCAATAGTTATGTAAGCCTTTATGACTATTATTGTAGTTCAACACCGATGTATTAAATATGAACCGCCTAATATGTACAGCATTATTTTGCAATTAAAAAGCTCACACATGTACTGTACCTGGAATACATGCTATGTCAGATTACTGAACACATCAGATTTTTCAGATAAGCCTACACTTTAAGAATACAGTACATACTTGGGGTAAACACGTGTACTGTAAACAAATTCACCATTACAATAATAATTGTAATGGTGAATTACAATAATAATTGTAATAGTACTGCACAGTACAATCCAATTTTGATAAATTTTGATAAAACATTAGTGAATAAAAATCTTAATAAATACATTAGTTTAAGAGTTCATTGTGTATGGAGATGTTTGCAAGTATGCTTTTAATGGAATAGGCCAAGACATACCTTTGGAGGAGGAGGGGGTTTATCTGCATTTACTTCTGTAGTTGGAGGTGTGGGTGTAGGGGCTCCAGTGTTCTCCTCATCCTGAAGGATTGATAACCCCATGTCGGCCAGGAGTGGAGGATTGGTACCAACATCGCCACCTAAACTCCACCTCGTACATTTCATGTTACCATCACTATTCTCTTTATCATAACTGCGCTTTCTGTATAAAAAAAAAAACAATAAAATGATATATATAGTTATAGATTGCAAGGTGATCAAGAAACATGTCACAAGACTAGTCTATTTCAGGATATTAAGAGAATAGTATGATGAATAAAGAGGTGCTCTTATTGCAGGGGGGGGGCTGTAATGTGTGGAGGGAGCATAAGGAGCTCAAGAAATGCAATGAATACATGATTGCACTATGAGTGCATACTTGTGTAATGATTACAGGCTTGTGCAATATGCACAAAATGGTGCAATGAGCAAATAGAATGTAACAAATATGGAGTGGTGGAGTATGAATTTGTAGCAAAATATGGTAGTTATATCCATATTGGCTGCTACAGTTCTATTCAAAATGGTTATGGTGGTTGTATCTGAAGTGGATGTGGAGGTTGAGTGTAATTGTGACTGTGGTAGTGATTGTTGCATGGTATTGTTTGTTTTAATTGGTGGAAGTAGTAGTGTAAAGGCAGTCATCAGATTACTGTGAAGTTGGTCAACTCTCATCCCAGGAACTGTTGAGGACCCTGCAAACCAGATATGATAGGGCTGATCTCAGAGACCGTTAAAATACTGAACAATTTGGATGATGTTGATCCAAACCATGTCTTCAAAATATCAAATGTAATGCAAACAAGGAATAAGAGCTTTCAACTCAACAAGCTACAATGTAGAACAGAAAGGAAGAGATGTTTTTCACCCATAGGGTTATAAACCCATGGAGCTGCCTACCTGCCGAAGCCATAAATGCCAAGACGACACTGTACTGTACAGTACTTCAATTCAAAATGGTGTTACAAAAATTTTTCAGGAACAATGGGGCAGGAATCTTTGACAAGCTGCTGGGACCTCTGATATACAGGTAACTGCAAATACCAAAACAGCTTTGCAGTTATGGTATTGTGATTGTTGATGTAATTTGGGTAGTGGTTGAGTATGTACTGGTTGTAATTATTGTAGCAGTGGTTGTGGTGATTATGATGATACAGTATATGTAGCAGTAGTGTTTATGGTGACATATATAGCAGTACAGTAGTGCTTATGGTGATATGTATAGCAGTAGTGTTTATTGTGAAATATATAGCAGTTGTGTTTATTGTGATAAATATAGCAGTAGTGTTTATGGTAATATATACAGTGGAACCTCGAGTGACAAGCGGCTCCAGTGACAAGCAAGCCACTCGCAGAAAATGTCTCTCGATTAACGAGCGTTCTGCTGGTTCTTGGACACCTCTGACGCCAGTTTTGTTGTTATTTCGCAAGACGAGTTTTCCACATGAGGAGCTCGGTGCCGGAACACATTAAACTCATTAATCGAGGCGCCACTGTATATATACAGTGTATAGCAACAGTGTGTATGAAAGTGGTAGAGGAGGTAATGTTGTATGTTTCAATATGGAGGTAGAAAAGGGTACAGGCATGATATTACTGTGTAATAAGAGGAAGGGGTAGGACAGCAAAGGCTGTAAATAAATGTGGTTAATTATTCAGCTAAGTGAAACTCGGTTCTAAATAAAATGTTGAATATTGGATTCTGAGAAACTAATTGTAACTATGAAGAATTAGCAAATTTTATTACTTTGATAATTACTTGACCCAAACAATTTAAGCAACTCTTGCAATACTGTACATATATAGAACTTGTTGTATTCACTGCAAACATCCGAGGAAATTAATAATAATAATAAATAATAATACTGTAATAATATTTTATTAAAACAAAATTAAGTTCTGCTTACAGAAATTTCACAGTAGGTACCACTTTTCTTCTTTATAAAACCACTAATCATGTGCTGGGAAACTTGTGAACAGGTAAATGGGAATGTCAATGACAGGCATTGGTGAATGTTAAATGGCAGGTAGGATATTAGTGAAGCAGGAAATTTGCTTATCAATGCATGGGGTAGGATTAGGAAAAAGGTTGAGTTGGAGCAATTCACTGAATATTTGGTCTTGTGACATGGTTTGGAAATTGAGAATGGGGAGAGAGAATGAGATGAGGATGAGATGAGAGATCAGAGAGATCAGATGAGATGAGTAGAGATGAGATATGAGGAGATATGAGATGAGATGGGGGAGAGAGATGAGATGGGGGAGAGAGATGAGATGGGGGAGAGAGATGAGATGGGGGAGAGAGATGAGATGGGGGAGAGATATGTGATGAGGAGAGATGAGATAATGAGATAAATGAGATGAGAACAGAAAATGAGAACATAGGGAGATGAGAGAGCAGAGATATATGTGACAAAAGTGATATGAGAGGAAAGATATATGAGAGGAAAGAGAGATGAAAGAGATATAAGGGAAAAGAAATATGATAAAAAAGAGATTTGAGAGAGAAAAGAGAATATGCCAATGGAAAAGATATGAGAGAATAAAAGAGATATGAGAGTAGAAAGAGATTAGATGGTAACATACATAAAAAGAAGAGAGAAAAAAAAGTCTGGAGAATATAAAGATATAAAAGAACAATGAGTGCAGTGGAAAAAAAGAGCTTGGCGAAAGATAAAGATATAGACACAGAGAATGAAAGAAATGTGAATATTTATTAAAAACTTCCAATATTTGTGGACCATTTACAGACTTACAATCCAACCAGAGGCCAGTATTGGCAAAATAATGGTAAAATACTGTATTAATAAAATCTTTATTCTGGACAATAAGATCATGAGTAGATGAGTGATGAAATTGTTCATAGCAAAAACAAACAGTATACAATGGGCCAAGATGCAAGGTAAAAAATTGGGGAAAAACTGATGTGGGTCTAGTACAGTATTCTCCAAAACAAGCACCAGTTTGAGGTCAGGACTTTATTACATAAACTATATTGAATTTTACCAAATTAACTTGTGCTCTTTATTAATACTACTCTATTAATAATAATTACCTAATACTGTAGATATCAATGATACCTACATCTTTCTCTTCATTAATATTTTACCCTTCCGTGAAACGATATCACACTGGCCTAGAGCCAGGAACTGGAATCGGCTGTTATTCCAAATCAGGTTTCCCATTACCATGATCTGCCAGTTGTTTCACAGTAAGGTTCGACATTATAGCTGTGTGACAGTAACAAACATCGTGATATAACAATCCATAACCATTCCACGGTGTGGTCCCAGGTCCTCCCATTTGTGAGAAATGTATTAATCCCTGCATCACTGGGGGACCCCTCGTCAACACCATTACAGCGATGATATTTTGGTTGGGCCAAAAATACCAATGATTCATAACATGCTCCACATAACACAACTAAAAACTGAGAAATATGTGCCCACCCAAATCATCCAATGTGCATTTTAAAAACATTCTTATAAAAAAATATACACTAAATTTAAACATTTTAGGTTATAGTTTATTGAAATTGTCAATGTGGGAACAAACTGACAATGGACCCAACAGCAAATTCGACCAACCCATTATATACAAATATGATATTCCAGACATGTAGCATGTCCAGCGTGCTCTACGGCATACCCCACATACCCTGCGGGCATCATAAGGTCCATAGCAAGAAGAAAACATAAACAAATACGGATTTTCCTCCAGCCTGATCCCCGCCTCGAGTCTGATTTCGGCGCCAAGTTTGTTGACATGGCATCAGCTGGGCGGGAGACTCGCCGACCCACAGCTTTCACACGCCTCCCTCTTGCTTCACACGGGGTACAGGCACCCAGGCGGCCCCTGCACGCTCTCCTCCACTCTGTAAACCAATTATTTACCTGGTCTGGTGAGAAAATTCATCTCCGGCAGATGCCACATTGGCTCTCATGTCTGGTAGTGTCGTTCCGGGAGGTGTCGACGTACTGAGCCAATCACGGCGCCTCTCTACCCTCCCGCCACATTCAATATTTAAAAAACAAAAACTAAGTTCAATTGTTTTAAATTCCTACTTGATGAACTATAATTTTCTCTACAAAGTCTTCCTTTAATATGAGATGTGTTCCAGATGCTATGCTGCAGGGGCTCCACAATGTACTCTGTCTTTACACCTGTTTTTTAAATTGATGAATTTTAAATTTTGAATTTACACAGCGACAATTATAATTCATTTTAGATTTATACCGAGAATAATGTAATAATAATAATATTTTTTATGATGATAATATTTAGTTAGTAAAAAAATTAGAGGGCCTTATTACATTGGTTACATTATTTATGTATAATTTGAATAAGCCTATACGTGCAGTTTGAATTATTTATATTATATATATTATATTATATATATATATATATATATATATATATATATATATATATATATATATATATATATATATATATATATATATATATATATATATATATATATATATATATATATATATATATATATATATATATATATATATATATATATATATATATATATATATATATATATATATATATATATATATATATATATATATATATATATATATATATATATATATATATATATATATATATATATATATATATATATATATATATATATATATATATATATATATATATATATATATATATATATATATATATATATATATATATATATATATATATATATATATATATATATATATATATATATATATATATATATATATATATATATATATATATATATATATATATATATATATATATATATATTTATCATGTGGCATGCAAAATATCCTAAGCCCTACACCTTAGGGCTTCAAGTCTAAGTCCAGCACTGGTGTTAGGGGTGGAATTTGTTCATTTGCCTCTAAGAAAAGGGGGTTCACTTAATTTTTTTTTCCACAGCATTATTTATATTTATGTAGTTGGTTCCTACCAAAATTGGACTTCATTTAACTTCAGGGAGACAAAAAGTTCTCTTCCCTCTGCAAATATTAGTTCACTTAGGTCATCAACCAATTAGAATCAGATACTGTTAGCGAGAAGGTAAACCCAGAGCAGGAGAGAGAGAACATTTATGGTTGGGGCTCAGTATCTCAAGCAAGTAGTAGAATTTGCCTGCAAAATTCCCTATTTGGATACTGCCAGTGCTAGAGATGGTACTACACACTGTTTGGTGATCTATTTTCTTTGTAACAGACAAGAGATTCTGTGGAGGATTTGGAGCAGTAGTAGGGGACGACTGTGACTACTATGGTTTTATGTTCTAATCAATTTAAGAATTGCCAAAGCAGTTTCAGTATTTCCATCAATAAATTCCTATACCAAGATGATCGAGTCACCTTCAGGTCTGCAGCTGTGTACCTAGTATTGTGGCATCTTTAAATTCATCACAACTATATGAGTGTCTTGGATTTCATGCTGACAACAAATCCACCCTTTTCAGGTGCTCATCTTAAGATTGACTTGGCATCTGTGGATCTTTACCACTTTCCAGTGTGGTTTGGCAAGCTATAGTGGTATGGATCAAAGTACAGTAGTTACAATGGTTTGGTAGGTATTTATGGTAAAACTGTTTGGATTGATGGCAAAGCATTGGGACTTTTGTCATTCTGTACTGCAATGGTTTGGATATTTGATGGCATTATGTTTAGATTGAAAACATTTCTTTACAAAAAGTTAATGTTTGTTATGAGAAAAGTATCAGTTTTGTAAACTTTGTTCACTTGAAGGATACAATACCATTAAAAATTTAGATGCCTTATTGTCTTGGAATAAAAACAATCTTATCAGAGGAAAATTATTAAAAAGAATGGATCTCAAAATTTACACTAAATGTATACTGTATATATATTGTAGATGAAATTGGTAACATGGAAGACAACCTAACTGATCGAGCAATATGCACATCACATGATTTCGTTTTATAAAACTAAATATTTTAAATTTATAATATTTAAAATATGCATCATATATTGCTAATCAAAATTAAATCCCTCAAATGTCAAATCCTTTACTTATGCAAGGTTCACGAGTTTTTACTACAAGTGGAAAGTTATCGAGAAATTGTTATGAATAGTTTCTTCAATGTTTGGTTCACACACTTACAAGAAATTTTAGGTTGAGGCCCAACACTAGTGCTATATGTTATTTAGCACCGATAAAACAATTGTTAATCCAAACATTTAATTTTTTTATATTTATATCCAGTTTCCATAACACAAGAAAAAGTTAAGAAAAATAAGTTAAACTTCATTCAGGAATATAAATGGTATTAATTAAAATGCTGTAGTCAGCTTTTTGAGTGGAGAGATTGAATAGGTAATATGTATTTGGTGGACTAGGTTAGGAAATACAAAATTAAGAATAATATTGTGTTATACCATTTATTCACACAAGCAAAACAATTATAAAAATATCACAAAGCCCTCACCTCGGAATGCATATTTAATTGATTTTTGGAACCGAATAAACTTTACAAGGCACATTGGGAATTAATGTACATACTGTATACCATAAGCCTTCACTTCTCCCAAGCACAATTAACAGTAATAGTTACCAATGAGCAGAAAATTGTGAACAAATTACAAGTTACTGTCCTTGCAAATTTGTTTATACTACTGAATTGAACCAGCATATGCCTGGAAACAACAACTCTTCAGTTGAAAATGTTATTATACAGTACTACTTCCCACAATCAGTGTAAACACACATTTTATATATATATATATATATATATATATATATATATATATATATATATATATATATATATATATATATATATATATATATATATATAATATATAATATATATATAATATATAATATATATATATATATATATATATATATATATATATATATATAAACTATAAGGAAAAGAAGATAATGCTTTAACAGTATAAAATCTCTGGTGTGTCCCCCATTTAAATTACTGTATCTGAGCATTGAGACCTCATTTTCAGAAGGATATTGCTGCTCTGTAGAAGGTGCAACACCGGGCAACAAAAGCCATTCCAGAACCAAGTCATCTCACGTATCAGGAACGCTTAAGGCCACATGGCTAACAACACTGCAAACCAGGCATGATAGGGCAGATCTCATTGAAACTTGGGGCCAAATTGAAATGGTGATCAAGATCTGTGTATATACAAGACTTGGCTGCTTCCATGTTATTGGCAGCATATAATTTTATATACTGTATATATGTATATAAATATAAATAATTTTTTCCAAACAAGTGTCACTGCCATTAGAAAGAATAAGAATTATGATGCATTCTGCATAGTAATATACTATTAGCAAGGAGCTTTAGGTCTGTCTCCAATACCACCAGCTTGTTCATACACTGCACAAGAAACTTGAATTGCTAAATTATCTGCTTCTTCTTGTGTAGAAGCTTCTGCATAAATACGAACAATGTCCTCTGTTCCTGAAGGTCGTACAAAAGCTCTACCTTTTGAAAATGCACTGACAATTTTGTTGATAGTGTCTTGCAAACCCTCTGGTGTTACACACACTCTCTCAGCATCAGCTGTAGTTATGACGGCTCTATCTGCAACAACCACCTGAAAAAAAGTAAAGTGCAAAGTATTTATAAAAATATTCAGTGCAGTGTATAGTATAGTACTAGAATCTGAACTTTTAAGCATTATTTAATGTATGGTTTTAAAATTAATCATCATGTACAATCAGTTCTACTTATCTAGGACATTAGTATAACAAGCCATAATTTTTAAAAGTTTTAAACCAAGAGTGCAGAATACCTTCATTTGCCTGTTGGGAAGGTCTGTGTATGCATCATTCCAGTCTGAGATAGACCACCCTCGAGTATGTAGAACACTTTCTACAAGCAGCATGTCCGATACAGCATCTCCAACAGTCTCGTTGATTACATTTAACACAAGCAGTAACTTTTCAGCACTGCTATTATTTGCTAAAAAAAAAAAAAAAAAAAAAAATAAGGAACTTATTTATGCATTAGTTGGAAAATTATATTTTGCAGGCAAAGTACTACTTTATTTGGTAGAGAATCAAGTAGAGTAATATAGCAAGGAATTTTGATTTATGGAACTTCACATCATTAATACTTTAAGTAATGACACCAAATTAAAATGAAAAACAAACTATACCTTTTGCAGCTACATTAATAGCCTCTTTTGCAGTTGCTGAAAATATTACAGTGCCATGGCCATTAGCTTCAAAGTAAACTCCAATGTCAAACTGCTGAGCCATATGATGTAAATGTTTCACACCAGTTTTAGCACAAGCCACTGGTACTCCCAATTTCTCGGTGATATAGGCAGTAGACGCTCCGTTTGCATAAGCGGTCTGTACTAATCCAAGTTTTAGTTTCAGCTCTGTGGAACAAATTTTTACTTTACAAATAGACTTTAATAAATACAATGATTTTTTTAAATCGAGGCATAAATAGGATGCATCATTATTTATGTAGATTATAACTGTTTATGCAAGTAGGTAATTATCAAAAGAAGGCACCGTGCCTGTACTTCATCTGTACTATCATCATCTGTGGTGTAGAACAGTCAGAAAGTCCTAGATATCATTCATGATGCCAATACAAGAGCAAAATTACACAAGATGAACGATGTCAAAAGCACTGGATTCTCCGAGGATTTTATCAGGGAAAATGTGACAAAAGAACATTGGGAAAGCAAGATTTCCAACCATCCTGAAAATTAGGGAATATTACGAGGAGGTGCATGACTAAATGGGATAATGGAGTTCAGACAATAAGGTGCAGAGCTTTGTTCCTTTAACTGCCAATATGTTAAGCATGTGTGTGTGGCTAATACACAACCTACCCAGAGCCATTTCCTACCTATTATGGTGTTACAAGGAAGGCCATGAGAATATACTACACTTAGTACTATGCAGTATTAACTATACTTACTACTGTAACTCTACTCATGATCATCCCAATGGTTACAGATTGTACATATGACAGGGTAGAAATCAGAGTAAAGGGGCCACTTTTGGGAAATGGGACAGGCATAAATGGCCTCCTTTGCAGTGGCATCTGACTATCTGTGCAACCCCAAGTTAATTTTTGCTATCTAGGTAGCCAGCACACACATCTACCAGCCAGGTAGGTATTTTGCACACATACCTACCTACCAATACCAGCCACCTACCAACTTACCTACCTATCAGGTAGGTTGGTAGGTATTTTGCACACTTTTGTTTTATTAGAGAACTAGGGACAGCCTTCTTATCCTCACTCTGAGGAGAACTCAGCTGCCACGTGTTGCTGCTCCCTCTGAAGGTCCTACAGTTCTTCCATGGTGAGCTCTGCTCTGTGCTCCTCATCATCAGCACTAACCTTTTAAACCTAATGACTCATTTTGCCATGCAAAACGCAAAATAGTTACACACAGAAATCATAATAGCGTGATGCATCAAATTAACAAATCCACAAGGGCAGTGACAAGGATTCGAACCTACGTCCGAGAGCATCCCAGATGCTGCCTTTATCGACTGAGCTACAAAATTGTCAAAAGAATTGAAACCAGAAGTTCTACTGAACTTACTTGGATCCTGCAGCCCCCTCCGAGACACAAACCAGGGTTTTACACAATTCCCCCATGCACTCGAGCTATGTCAATAGGCCATTCTACCTCTTTGCCCTTACTTCATTACACACAAATCACAATAGCGTGATGAAAGACCTAGGACAAGAATTGAGGTGACCAAAGTGAAAAGAGTTTACAAATTTTATTGCTCTTGCACGCTTCCGGGTAACATGCTCTCAATTTCTCTGTTTGTTGCGGATGGTATGCTGGGCTTTTGGACTTTATATGCCTTTAGTCCTGTAGAAAATTCTATTGCAAACACAATTATACCAAATTGAAAAATCTAGGACAAGAATTGAGATGACAAAGTTGAAAAAGAGTACTGTATACACTTTTCAGTATTACCGCTTGCTCTTGTGGAATGCCAGGCGCACTCTGGGGTGGCGCTGCGCTCTCTTACCCAAACCGCAAATGTGTTAAGAAGTTACACTAAATAAATCAAAGAATTAAGTTAATAAAATAAAAATAAAAATTGTACAGTATAAACAATGGGTACCAACAATTCATTATAGACAATGCACAGCAATAATATAAATAATAAAGAAGAGAAATTGACCTTGCAGACCATAATACTTATCAGTTATGTTATTCTTGATCTGTCAATGATTAATACATTGCACACTGTGCAGTACACACACACACAACTGTACAGAAACCGACATGCATGCATACATATTAGATTTTGTAACATGCTCGTTATATAATTATCAACAACAAGAACTGTTTAAATTCAAATCACAATGATATAAGCAGAATATAACTTTAAATATTTATATATATCCATACACAAAATGTTGAGAGTTAGTAGTCCAAGAACATTACTGATTTGGCTATATTGCCAGTACAGTACTGTATTATGTGAATGCTGAATATTTAAACATGTGTGTGTTCAATTTTCTATGGTTTTGGACAGGAATCTTGTTAGGTTCTAGGCCCCACTAACCTGCAGCAAAGTTCCTCAACTACATAGTTCCTCAAACAGTTACTAATCAAACCCAAATGTTTGATTAGTAACTGGTCAAGTAGCATGTATTTCATCCACTGAACTATGCCACCTTATAATAATAAATTGATTTGCATTCTAACATATTACTGAAAATGCTGTAACTTTACAGGCTAGCAAACACACTCGGTATGAGAGCAATAACTAGCTATCAGTATACTATATATCTGTTGTATGTAATGCAAAACATCATTCAAAATGCAATGTTTAACATGTAGGATATAATTAAAAAAATGGAAAAAAATTATTCAACTCTTACCTGAGCTTTTTACCAGCTCCTGCATATAACCTGCAACCAATGTGGCAATCTTGTCTCCATCAAGCATGTGGAATTTTCCTTCACTATCGAGGAAACTGTAGATAACACGATCTGCATCACCATCAACTGATACACATCTCACATTCTGAGTCTTTGGTACACCCTCAGGCCATTTTTGTTGTACCTAAATATATAAATAACATTTAACAATCAAAGGAGGCCACAAGACATTTATCATAAGTTTACATACCTATCTGACAATAAATAAAACTGAATGACCATACTATACAAAATATTTGTTCTGAGTAATGTAAATTAAACTAATGTGTAACATACCTTTACAAAATCTGCTCCACACATATGGTTAAGTACTCCCTCTCCTTTGTTGAAAATAGTAACACTAAGAGAGTTTTCCATGTATTTCAGGAATTCTGCCATTGCCATTGCTCCTACTCCATTAGCTCCATCAAAGAGTATTACTGGATCATAGTTGCCATGAGATGTGCTTGATGAACGTAGCTTAACAAAGGCCTGAGCTATTTTCTGGTAATATCCTTTGAGTGTTGCTTCACCATACCTGAAATACAGAATAGGATATTATTTTTCAATTATGAAAATTAAATTGGATACAAATGATGATTACATTTTTATATTACTATATTACACTTTTATTTTGAAAGTTATTTTCCTATTTTGTAATACCCATCAATCTGCCTCACAGTTTACACCTTCATGATTAAATAATTATTAAATGAAAGCAATAAGCTAGTATTTATTTATTTATATACAAGAAGGTACATTGGGTTTGTGAGGATACATAGCATGGTATTTACATTCTTGTAAAGCCATTAATGCGCGCAGCATTTCGGGCAAGTCCTTAATCTAATAGATAATTTTAAGTAGGTAAATTCTAGCAGAATTTATAAAATGATAATGGGTACATTGCAAGAAAAAAAATGAGATGAGAGATTTGTAGGTATATTAAAGCACATTGGTAGCTCTGACTCCATTGACAGCTTGATTGGTAATTTAACAAAGATTAATAGGCACACTACAACATATTGCTAGCACATAAGACAGCAATGATCATAATGGTAAAGTTGTTTAGATTAGGTACATAAAGATTGGGAGATTAGGTAGCAATAGATACAGTGCAATTTTAAAGCACAGGGTAGGAAACTAAGAAGATGAAATTAGGTACTTTTTAGTTTTGTTTTTGAATGAGGCAAAAGTTAGAAAGCTTTTCAATTCATTGGGGAGTGACTTCCATAGACTATGTCCCTTTATTTGCATAGTGTGTTTACACAGATTAAGTTTGACTTGGGATATCAGAGACATTTATTTCTGGTGTGGTGATAATGAGTCCTATTACATCTGTCCAGGGAGAGTTTCAGAGCAGGGTTTTCATTTAAGAACAGGGTTTTGTAAATGTAATTGACACGAGAATGTGTAGAGTGAGTTTATGTTTAGCACGTTTAGGGATTTAAACAATGGGGCTGAGTGTTGTCTGAAAGCAGTGTGTTGTTATTCTCACAGCAGATTTTTGCTGGGTAATGATGGACTTGAGGTGGTTTGCAGTGGTTGAACCCCATTCACAGATACCGTAATTAAGATAGGGATAGATTAGTGCATAATATAGCGAGATGAGAGCAGAGTTAGGTACATAGTACTGTATCTGATTTTGCAGAGTATATCAACTGTTTTAGAGACTTTCTTAATTGTGTGTTGTATGTGGGTGATGAAGTTGAGTCTCTTGTCTAGGAATAGGCCAAGAAACTTTCCATAATTTTTATTACTGATGTTAACATTGTCTATCTGAAGCTGAATTGCATTTGTTGATTTGCTTCCAAATAAAATGTAGTAGGTCTTTTCTATGTTTAGTGTTAGTTTGTTGGTTGACATCCATAAGTGGACATTTTTAAATTCATTATTCACAACATTATTTAGTGTGTGGGGGTTGGGGTCTGAGTAGATGAGGGTAGTATCATCAGCAAACAATTTAGGTTTAAGAATGTTAGACACATTAGGCAGATCATTGATGTATATAAGAAATAGAAGAGGTCCCAAGATGCTGCCCTGTGGCACTCCAACAGTTATTGGTAGAGTGGGAGAGGTTATATCATTGATGGCTATCCTATCATTAAGATAGGATAGGAAATAGTCCAGGGCAAGGCCTCGGATTCCATAATGATAGAGTTTATGCAAGAGGTAGTTGTGATTAACAGTATCAAAGGCCTTTCTTAGGTCAATGAAGAGTCCAATCAGAAACTCATTTTTGTCAAGGGCTGAGTAAATTATATCAAGGAGACTAATAATTGCATCGTTGGTACTCTTTTGGGAGCGGAAGCCAAACTGACAGGGGCTGAGTATGTCGAATTTTACAAGGTTACTTATTACTTATTGTTTTACTTATTGTAGAGCTGTTTGTAGATAATTTTTTCAAATATTTTTGAAAGTATGGTAGGTTTGATATTGATCTGTAATTGTTTATATCTGCCAGATTGCCTCCTTTATGAACAGGCATTACTCTTGGTTTTTTAGGGATATCAGGGAAGGTATGACACTAGAGATTTGTTGAACAGCAGAGCTGAGTGGCGCAAGGGTATAGGAGGCGCTCTTGTATACAATGGATGGGATTTCACTGATGTTCCCAGCTTTGGTTTTTAGTGAGTGTATGATGGACACAACATCTGTCGGGATGACTGGTGAAAGGAGAAGAGTTTGGATAGCTGCCTGAGAGATATGCGTTAATATGAGTGAGTTTGTGAGTATGACTATGACTGAGTATGAGTATAATGCACTTCAATCTGCAACTTAATTAAGATGCCAATATACAGGAGCAGGTTACAAGTTTATAGAGAAGGAGTCCAATTCCCTGAGTATTTTAGCTAGTGACATTTAGTTTAAAGGAATACAGCATGTTCAAATTTCTGTGAAACAATTATGATTACATCATTTAATATTCGTATCATACCTTAAACTTCATTGACTATTTACAAAATATGCCTATCTTTAATAATTGTCAACAACAAGTTGACAACAAGACATCTGTCCCATCCAAATTAACATACATAAATAATATAAATTTGCATAAAGTTCTAATGAAAACATGCCTATTGAAATCATTGGGCTTTAAACATTTTATATGAAAACTGTAACAAAAAAAATACTTACGTTCCACCATCATTGTGGCAAGTAACAAGATAATGTAGTGCTGGAGTGGTGATTATTCCAAAATCCTTCACCTCTCCCCCTATTGCAGCCACACCTGCAGCCACTGCATCTCGTAAATGGCTGCTGCTTGGCCTGTGATATAATTAAGACATTCAGTTTATTGAAGATAGTGAACTTGACAATGAAAAAGGAAAATCTGTTCATTATTCACACAGTACAGTACTGAAATGGTCTAAGCTCTGATTGTACACATTATCTCTTCCAGACTTCATTCCAAATCAATTATAGTGTACATTTTTTTTACTTTCTAAAGCCTCTAGTAATATTATATTTCTAAGTATGCTATTTCATTTTTTTAAATATCCATACAGAAGGAACTGTTACTGTTTTGCTTATTTTCCATTTTTTTTTTTGGAGGGAGGGGGGGTGGCAATGATATTCCTGCACAAGCGACTGGAAGGGCAACTAAGTGTTACTCATTTCTGTCTTAGGTGCTGGATGAGTATTTATGACATATTGACTTCAGTAACAATATGTCTAATGTGATAAACCACTGTACTACTTACTTTAGTGCTGTTAAATCTCAGTTGAAACCTTATTTGGTTTGTAGCTGCAAATACACAGTTTGTAACACAGCATTTGCTCGAAGCGCTATGCATATTAGTGGCTTTGAACATACTGTAATATGTACTAGCTCTCTAGAAATCCAACATCCTGTTTGTATCTCATTTTAAATGTATGTACTTTTACCTGAATAAATATTATCATTATCTGTGTTAGATAATGTTCCAGTGGTTTGTCATGCATTTCTTCACAATGGGGACATTTCCTATCCTTCTGGAACCTGTAAGCATATTTCTCATGCACATGGATTTTCAAGCTTGATGCGGTGTAAGTGCATTTCTGTTTTTATTTTGTACCCTTTTATCAAAATAAGTGGTTTGTAGGTGGTTAAATTTTTGTACCAACTCGCAAATCCCAACCCATTCTCCTTTTTAGACAATAGTTTTTGTAACTAATGTACACCATAATACAAAGATTGTCGTTCTAAGCAATTAGATAGCAGAATTTTGTTATATTCACTTTATAATTGGAAAAAATTAAGCTAAACAACAAACTCAAATATTCCTAGGCCTAATATAGCACACATATGCACTGTATTAGCCTCAGATGTCGTGTATTAGACCTAGGAAGGTTAGGTTAGGCTAGTTTAATTTTTCTTTGCAACATACTGTAAGTAGAAAATAATTTTACGGTTTGTCCAACTCAATATTGAGTAGTTTCTTTATTTTTAAAATCGGATCACAAACCGATTTCTACTTTCTTATTTTGTTGTACGTCATATATATACTATGGTCCTCATTACTTTAGGTACTACCAAAACTGGAGGATGGGCTGGCAAAACCTGATGCTGCAACGACAGTGTTATGATCACTGTACGTCGTGTACATCATTTCTCTATTTCTTATAGTTGATAAGTTTATATTAACTACAAGAGATTTCCCACAAAGCTTATAGTTAATATAAGTTTAGTGAGAAATGCTTTCCAAATGTAACAGCTAAATGATTATACTGACTACTTTAATAAAATGCTGTCTGCTGAATCCTGTCATCATGGAAAGGCAATGAAAACCTGAAATGGTATGTGTACCACACCAAACTTACATTGATACAGAAAGCATTATTTACTCTACAGTACTAAATAAATAAGAGAAATATATTACTATACTGTACAGAATACTTTCCCTGCTTGAACATAGAGATTTGTTAACCGACACATCTGCAGCAATATAAATTTTGTTAAATCTAACGGTTATAATTTTTTGCTATTTTACACCAAGCATTATTGTTATTTGTGCAAATGACATAAAACACATTGTATACACATTTTTCTAAACTCGCTTGTTAAAAATAAACTTAAATACAGTATACTTATTATTTTTGTTTGCATCAAATTTCCATCTGGGGAACAAGTGTATATAGTTCCAATCTTCAACTGTTTTCTCTTGTACATAATTACAATGATCTTAATACTAGAAGAGAATCCTTCCATTGCACATAACTCCGGTAGAGCAAAGTCCATTTGAGTGGACTGTACTTCGTACTTTGACAGTTTTCAAATATAAAACAATATATATACAGTGCATCTGAATACAGTATTTATACAAGTGATAACTAAGCAAGCATTCAAAACATTCCGCACTAAATAAAGATTAAATACAGTAGTCTGGTCAGTGGATTTACCTGGTATCTCGGCCAATAAATACTAATGCTTTCCTGCTCGTATCAATGCAAGCATCACAGACAATCTTTTCCAGTACATCAGCTATTCCATCATCTGTTGCATTGACCAACTTGGTAGCGTGTGCTTCCCAGGCTGGTGCTAACATTTCTCCCATGGGATCAACTAATTTAACTCCATTGTCTGGTATGGGATTGTGTGAGGCAGTGATCATAACACCAATTGCAGCTGAAAATATTAATTTTAAATGTTATCCTAACATAATGAATGAGAATTCATTGATTAATGATTGAACAGACTCCCTCACTGGGAATATACAGCCCTAATGAAAATTGGTAAGCTTTAATTTGAGTGTTGTATGCAAATAATTTATGAATACTAAATCAATTAACAAAGCCATAATGTTGACTGGTTCCATAGATTTGCCATCACTATAATACTACAAAAAATAATCTTTATGTGTCCAGCATACCAACAGCAAAACAGAAAGTTGAAAAATATCATGTATATAATGTTACTAAACATGACTATACAGTAACAATGGTTGAAATACAAAAGTATGAAAAAAGCCTTTAATAAAGTGCACATATACTCATTATATGGTGAAACCTTGACTCAATGAACTGTATGGGACCATCTCCAAATCATTGCAGTGAGGGATTCGTTGCAGCTGGAGATCCCTCTAGGATGCATTTCTCATGCCCTATGGACTAATTTCACTTAGTAAAATTTGTATTTCAACCTATAATAAAATAGACATGAACCAAATGAACACATCTGCAAAAAATGTTAACCCAAATTTAGCTAATTTCTCATGTCTATGTCTGCCATGGAATGCTCCAGGGTTAGGCACCCTGAAAGGTAGGCATAACAAAACAGACCTCCACATGGTAAGAAATCGCAACCAAAGACCGAACATGGGGCAGAACTCCCGAAAACTTTAAGAAACAAGCAAACATCATACACTGCCACTGTGCCACTTGTCCGTGCAGCCCTCCCCTCCCTTCGAGGGGGAGGGGAAGCCCTGGACTCCCCAAACAGGCTACTCACACCTCAGTTTGGAGGCCGAGCATCAAAAACAAAACTGCCGATCGGAGGGGAGGGAGGGGTACCAGAGAACCTCTGAGGCTCACCCAGAAAATGGCGTTTCATTACATTCATCGCTGCTTTTTGTGGGGAGCCCTTCCAGCTCCCTGGAGCTACCTAACCAAAGACAGGTAAAACATGGACTTACCCGGGAGGCAGGCCCCATGCACACATCAACTCTAAGTTGAGACAACTGGCCGCAGTCTGCAACCCAAAGCATCATACGAATGACCGGGACCAGGAATATTGACTAGATAACAGGTGGCCAGGACACTGTTCGACCTCCAAAACACCCCCATGCCCAAATTTCAGCCAAAGATATGTTGTCAAACATGGCAGCCAAAGCAGCAAACTTATGAACATCATGGACACAAGGGTAGACCACAGGCTGGTCTAAAAAAAAAATTATCTTTAGCTAATGATTGGCAATGTTCATAAAATTGATAATGTCATAGTAATTTTTTTTTAAAAGATTCCTAAATCCACTTTACGTAAGATTAAAAACTTTAACATGTGAATACACAAAGCAGTTACAGTACATGATCCCACGTTCTTGTTGTATAAAATTCAATGCATCTCATTGTAGTAGTTCATTACTGGTAATGCTGCCTGGAAGCCATTTAGAGTAGAGGGCAATTGGGCTTAATAGTACTGTAATGAGTTAACAGTTGTTACTTTGCAGTTTCAGTTAATTTTGTGTGGCAGTGCAAGGCTTTATGTGCTAAGAGAGTGCCCATCATCATCTTAATAATCTGTGATGGATTCAATTATCTCTTGTGCTCCTTAGCACCATTATGACCCTGCGGTGCTAACACAGATTGTCACTGCCTGACTGTTCAGATCCTGTCATAAAGAACCAGTATGATCTTACCTTTAGGCATGACTATGTCATAATCATGAAGATGTTTTTCATATGCACTCAATAGCTCAGAAAAGGTATTCAGTGTGATGGGTACCTGATGTATCCCGAGCTCGGAGACCCGCGAGGAGACCCATCCGATACATGATGAAGTCTAACTTATCCGCCCTGAAATTTAATTGATTTTCAGTACAGTATGTCACAAATAGTGCATATACAGTATTTATATTATTATATATATTACTGCATATACAGTATATATATATATATATACATATATATATATATACATATGAGTACAGTATGTTGTACTGTACCTAGTAGCCAGAATGCAGTTCTTGGCCTACTATGCATGGCCCAATTTGCCTAATAAGCCACATTTTCCAGAATTTCAATAATTTTCATTTTTTCTTATGAAATGATAAAGCTATTCATTTCATTATGTATGAGCTAATTTTTTTAAAATTTGGGTTAAAACTAATGTAGATATATGACAACCTAACCAACCCTACCTAATCCTATATATTATATATATATTATATATATATATATATATATATATATATATATATATATATATATATATATATATATATATATATATATA